CTTAAGAACACTTAGTTTTATCGAGCTAATTAAGTAGTACTCCATATCTCTATATAATTAGTTACCTTTAATATTTTGATTCTTATATTTTAATAATTACATTGATATCTTTATAATTATAAAAATAAAATATTTAGATTTTATTTTAATATTATTGATTTTATTAATAGAAATACTAAATCAAAGGATAAAAAGGTAATTTTAATATTTCAGTTTGTGATGATTGTAGCTTCATTGAAGGTCACAAGTGGTTATTGTGGATAAGAAGAATGATATCGTTTGATAATTATATTGACATTGATACAGATATAACTAATGTTATCGTTTATTACCATTGATATAGTTTATTATCATCAATTAAAATATTAAAATTAGTTTTTATTTTATATTTTTTTGATAAAATTGATGATGTTATGATAAATAAATCCAAGTGTTTTATTTTTATAATTATAAAAATAATATATATTTTTAAAATAGAAGAAAAAAAATACTAAAGATAACTAATTAAATTAACTAATATAATATGTAATTAGCACCTCCCTATCCGTTGTTATTTTTCTTTTTTTCCTGTCAAAATGCTCGTTCGCACTTCCTACGGGGCTCGCGTGAGCTCCGCCCACCTCTACTCCTCCCGGATCGACTAACTCGCTCTTTCTATCTATAAAGCCAAGTTTCAACGCCTGGTCGGCAGAGGCTGCGATCTCTCTTCCTCCATCTCCCTTCCCCGTCACACCGGATCTATCATTCGCTTCCCCCGATCCCAGCGCCGATCCCTACTCGGGTGAGTACACTGGAGATATCCCTCTTTCCTCGATCATGATTGCCCCAAACATCGTTCATTCTCTTTTCTATTCTGGGTTGTTTGTAATCTGATAAATCTAACTTTGATTGTCGAAGTGCGAATTTACATGGCTTCCAAGCTCGGATCCGTCTTGTTCGATGGCTACTCTTCTTTTTGTTTTCGACTTTTCTTGAGCTAAATTAGATCCCTAAAGTAGCTTGATGGGGTACTTGTGTTCTTTGACTTTGAATGGGCTACCCGATTTGGTTTTGCTTACATCAAGTAGGTTAATTGTGTACGTGTCAACAGTGCCGCGGGACTTGAGGCCTTTGTTTGAGGCAGATCTGTTCGCTGGTGCTTCCATTCTTGAAGGCTTACCTTTTCCGTCAGCTCGATTGGAGTTTAGACATATATCCTCTGACGTTTTTTATCTTTTTCTATTGTGTGCGTGCGTGGAAATTAGGTAAGAAGGTAACAGATGGCGCAGATTTTGTTACACGGAACACTCCATGCTACAATTTTTGAGGCAGAGTCCCTGACGAATCCACACAGAGCTTCAGGTGGTGCTCCGAAGTTCCTCCGCAAGGTAAATCCTTTCGTCATGATGATACTAGCCAACTGAGGTCTAGTCACTTTTAATCTTTTATGTGTCATCTTTCTCTGTGCTTATATCGTTGACTTGACATGCTCTGCTTGTTGATCTCTGCATGGTTATATGAGATCTCTTTTCAAAATTTTCATTTCAACTTGTAGATGTGATCTTGCATCTGTTTTTATATGATTATAAATTGCTTCAGAAAGTACATTTTACCGGTAGATTTTTTCTTTGAACTGGCTTGAGGAGATTGTGTTTATTGGGTTATATGTTCATCCAAACATGAAACACTAATTTACATAAAAAACCAGCACTTCAGAACCTTTCTAAAGCCAAGAAGCAAATATCCTTGGTTTGGTTTTAGAAGCTTTTTTAGATTCTTTTTGAAGTTTACTTTGGAAGTGCTGTTTATGTTTATATATAGCATTTGAGACTATTTGGGACTTTCTTTTGCTAAGAAATATGAGTGCAGGAATCTTACATGGTCATGTTTAATCACTCCTTTTAGGGTATTGTACAACTGAGAAAGGAAAACTGGGAGAAAAATAGTCAATGGAACTAACGAAGCAAAAGCTTTTGCACAATTACTGCTTGCTGCACATTTTTTTACACATTTAGGAGTCTATATACTGTACACAAATTGATGATTTTCTTTGCACATTAAGGTAGACAAGAACTATTAGTTTATATCTTAGTCTTTCCAAGTATATGTTCTGATCTCCTTAATAAAGTATTTCTCCTAGTCATATTGCTCCTAGTGTAACATATAAAGGAACTCCTCTCCAGTAAACACATGATGATACATTTTGTTTCCTTTACCATTAGACCCAGTAAATACTGTTATTTTAAACCATGCCTAAGACAACTTATCCTCTTTCCCTCTTGTTCCTGTTCCTCTTTATCACTGAGAATTATTTTATTGGTTGATTATTTTCTAGCCAAAAACAGGTTATCATTGTCAGATACAATTATAGATTTTTTTTTTGTCTTGTAATGTTTGATATATATGTTAAACTCATTGTTTTCTTATTGTCTTTCTTTCATTTTTATCTTCTAATTCTTGTGTACACCATGAAATGCTTCTAATAGCTTGTTGAAGGTATCGAAGACACTGTTGGTATCGGCAAGGGGTCTTCCAAACTTTATGCTACTATTGATTTGGAGAAAGCCCGAGTTGGTCGGACCAGAATGATCACAAATGAACCAGTTAGTCCACGTTGGTATGAGTCTTTTCACATATACTGTGCCCACATGGCAGCAAATGTCATCTTCACTGTTAAGTTTGACAATCCTATTGGGGCATCACTGATTGGAAGAGCTTATTTGCCTGTCATGGAGATCCTTGATGGTGAGGAGGTGGACAGATGGCTTGAGATATGTGATGCAGACCGGAACCCTGTTGGAGATGCTAAGATCCATGTGAAAGTGCAATATTTTGATATTTCAAAAGACCGCAACTGGGCGAGAGGTGTACGAAGTGCAAAGTATCCTGGAGTCCCTTACACATTTTTCTCTCAGAGACAGGGTTGCAAAGTAACGCTTTACCAAGATGCGCATGTCCCTGACGACTTCATTCCACAAATTCCTCTTGCTGATGGACGATACTATGAGCCCCATAGGTGTTGGGAGGACATTTTTGATGCAATTAGTAATGCACAACATCTGATATACATCACAGGTTGGTCTGTGTACACAGAAATTAGATTGATAAGAGACTCCAAGAGGCCAAAACCTGGTGGAGATGTTACACTTGGCGAGCTCCTTAAGAGGAGGGCTAGTGAAGGTGTTCGAGTTCTTATGCTCGTTTGGGATGACAGAACCTCAGTAGGATTGCTGAAGAAAGATGGTCTTATGGCAACCCATGATGAGGAAACTGCAAACTATTTCCGTGACACAGACGTGCACTGTGTTTTGTGCCCTCGAAATCCTGATGATGGTGGAAGCTTTGTTAAAGATCTGCAAATTGCCACCATGTTCACACATCATCAGAAAATTGTTATCGTTGACCACGAGATGCCTAACAAAAGTTTGCAGCAGCGGAGGATCGTGAGCTTTGTTGGGGGCTTAGACCTTTGTGATGGAAGATATGACACACCATTCCATTCTCTGTTCAGGACATTGGACACAGCTCATCATGATGACTTTCATCAGCCAAATTTTGGAGAGGCTTCCATACAAAAAGGCGGACCAAGAGAGCCTTGGCATGATATTCATTCACGGCTGGAAGGGCCCATTGCTTGGGATGTTTTATTCAATTTTGAGCAGAGATGGAGAAGGCAAGGAGGAAAAGATGTTCTTGTGCAGCTGCAGGATCTCTCTGACATTATCATTCCGCCTTCCCCTGTCATGTTCCCAGAGGACAGAGAGATTTGGAACGTGCAGCTTTTCAGATCCATTGATGGAGGTGCTGCTTTTGGCTTTCCTGACACTCCAGAGGATGCCGCTAGAGCTGGGCTTGTCAGTGGAAAGGATAATATCATTGACAGAAGCATTCAAGATGCATACATAAATGCCATCCGTAGGGCAAAGAACTTTATCTATATTGAAAACCAGTACTTTCTTGGTAGCTCTTATGCATGGAAAGCTGATGGCATCAAGCCTGAGGAAATTGATGCATTGCATCTGATCCCTAAGGAGTTATCTCTGAAGATTATTAGTAAGATTGAAGCTGGGGAGCGCTTCACCGTCTATATTGTGGTTCCAATGTGGCCAGAGGGTATGCCAGAAAGTGCATCTGTTCAAGCAATCTTAGATTGGCAGCGGAGGACAATGGAGATGATGTATACTGACATTGTACAAGCTCTCCAGGCAAAAGGAATTGAAGCTAATCCGAAGGACTATCTGACCTTCTTCTGCTTGGGAAATCGAGAGGTAAAGAAGAGTGGAGAATATGAACCCTTGGAGCACCCACAACCGGACACTGACTACAGCAGAGCTCAGGAGGCCAGACGGTTCATGATCTATGTTCATACAAAGATGATGATTGGTATCCTTCTCGACACTCATATTTACTAACTGTATGCATTTAAATGTTCTCTTTTGCAAAATATATACCTGGTTCTTGACATCCACAGTTGATACAATTCTGAAAATTCTTGACGTGGATCATTATATAATTATCACCTGATTTTAAACAACCTGAGGCAAATCTGAACAATTCTTGTTCTAGTTTTGTTAGATCTTTATGTCTGTTTTTGGTCCTGGTAGCTGAACCAAGAACCTGATACAATCTAGGCTGCATTAAGGTCATTTTTTCTTCAAGTATCCGAATATTGGTTAGTTCTCAGACTGACTCTTGGTTGCGAGATGAAAATAATATAGGCTAAAGGGGAGGAAATTCTGTGATCTTAGAATGTGTCACCAATAAAATAAAGGTTTTATGAAAATAGCACAATTTCTGAATTTGTCATCACCATTAAGTTGTAAAAAGGATTTCATAGTAATCGAAAATTGTCTAGTTTTTTATGATGTTTTTGAAAAATTAAGTTGCTTAGAAAATAGGTTGCTTGGTGCCTACTCATAACTGGAGTTCAATGCACCTGGGGATTTAAATACAAGTCAGATATTTGTAACCCATGGCCTACCAATACCATAAGGTATCATAAAAAAAAGTAATAGCAAAATAAGAAAAAGGGAAAGCATTGAGGTGTATGTTTCGGTACCGGAACTTGGTCGGACCAGTAAATATTGGTAGCTATATATTAATCTTGATGCTGGTTGAACTCTCATTGCACTCGTTAAGTGTTAAAGAAAACTTAATTACTCCAAACTTTTGGTTTCAGTTGATGACGAGTATATCATAATTGGTTCGGCCAACATCAATCAGCGGTCAATGGATGGAAGCAGAGACTCTGAGATTGCTATGGGAGCATACCAACCATATCATCTGTCAACTAGGGAGCCGGCAAGGGGACAGATCCATGGTTTCCGGCTGGCTCTTTGGTACGAGCACCTCGGAATGCTTGACGATGTTTTCCTCCACCCAGAGAGCTTGCAGTGTGTGCAGAAGGTTAACAGAATCGCTGACAAGTACTGGGATCTCTATTCCAGTGAGACTTTAGACCGTGACCTCCCAGGACATCTTCTAACCTACCCCATCGGAGTCACCAGCGATGGGATGGTGACGGAGTTACCTGGCATGGAGTTCTTCCCTGACACCAGGGCCCGTGTCCTCGGCGCCAAGTCCGACTACTTACCACCCATCCTCACCACTTAATTGTTGATGTTATCACCTCTTGCTTCCATGTATCTGGTTCTTCTCAATTATAGCAGTTGTAGTGAGGGAGGGAAAGACGCCATTTGCTTGGAGACTGTTTGTGGAATCCACTTGCTTGGAGACACTTAGTTTCCAGTTAACCTTGTGTCAGATTTGGGCTTTTGCTATAATATGTTCTATTACGACATACAATATGCTCATCAATCGAACTTGTGTGTCTCTCTAGCTTTCTGTTCCTGTAATCTAATGTTGTGCTGGATTCAACATTACCAAGCCCTTCTTTTCTTGACCTTTTTCTCATATTATACATTGTGCTGTCGCTCAGTGTTATTCTTGTACTTCCATCTCTTTGCCTGTTCTCGTTGCCCTATGCATGTTGTCACTGTCATCACAGAATAATCCCGTGTTTGCATATCAATTGTCTTAAATCCTGACGCTCTTCTACCCTCTCCCATTTCATTCGAGATTTCCACCGCTCTTTTGGTCTCTGTCAACAAAAGCACGAGCCACTCGAGCCTTCTTGCCACTTTCTCACGCAAAAGAAAGTAGCTGAAGAGAGCGCATTAGGTAAGGCAGCAGCTGCAGGAGGAGGAAGAAGGCAACCTCTAATGGAGCATCCAAGCAACAACGACGTGTCCCCTAAGCTTAATCGCTGTTGGTGCATCTCTTTTAACATCATAAAGAGAGGATAAGATTCAGAGTCTCGTGCCTAATAAGAATGATCACACTCACTCCTCTTTGGCCTTTAATGACGCCCTTCGTCCCAAGTTCTATGTGAAGATTCCCGGAACGTTCCCCCTCCCGGTTTATGGTGTTCACATTACCCATCACCGAACTCGGATGTCCGTCAAGTAGTAGAATCGAAGTCTTAAACTACTCCCAAGTGGATAACTCCACTCCTCACCATTGTGTCACGATGCATTGCTGAAAGAGAAGATGACGGAGGACATTTTGGCAGCAACTCATCTTTTCTAGAAGACGACTCCGTCAAAACCCGCCTACCGAACGTATTGTGTGATTACACTCTCTCAGTGTCTTCTTGCTTGGACTATATAGCATTGCAGCTTCACATGTCACGGCCCTCACACGGACGCCGTTCTTCCTCCTTATGTCTTCTTCCTCCTCTCTCATCACCTCGCATGGGGTGGCTCTGGCCACCGCTGTGGCTGTCTCCGGTGCCGTGATCATCCTCGCCATCTGCCGCCAGAAGCCCTTCTCCGCAGCCGTCAACCGCAGCTCCACCCCCCCCTGGTGCCACCCTCGCTCCTGCGTGTCCTCCTCCGGTACGCCCTCCGACCCGTCTCCGTGTCGGTCTGCTTCTTTGACTTCAATAGACGAGCTGACACCGTTGTTGCGCAGAGGGGAGGAAGAGGGAGAGGGCGAACGGGAAGCAGCAGCGGAAGAAGAGGGTCCAGTTCGCGGCGGAAGTGGAGGAGCTCGGCGGGAGTTCCCGCAATGAGACGGCGGCGGAAGTCCCACGGCCACCACGAGGAGAAAGGCGGGAGGCGCGAGGGATGCCGGCGAACAGGGTGGCCCTGTACAACGGAATTCTCAGGGATCGGGTGATGCAGCGGACGGCCTGCAGCTACTGATCGCTCCAAATCTACTGTGTAATGCCTCCCTCTAACCTTGTAATCGTCCGAGGAAGGGAAGAATGAACTCAGGCGTACGACGCTTGGAGATTCGTGCAATCAACTGTTTCTTTGCTTGTGCATAAATTACGGGCCATCCGATCATAATCAGAGGGTCGAAAGAGGAGGAGGTCGAACGGGTCTCTCCCTCTTTACTTCTCGTCAGGATGACGCCACAGGCAACTTGCTCTTGTTTTGTTGTCCTGCTCGGTGGAGCAGACACCGCTGGCCACTCCCTGTTGGCGTCAGCGTGAGAGCAAGAGGGTCGCTGTGGAGGGGGAGTCGGCTCCGCCGTCGACGTCCCTCCCGCCACCCTTAGCCATTTGTTTATGGCAGCAGCCGCAGCAGCGTCGTTGCTGCTACGATCACAACCTCCTGACGCAAACGGTGCACCATTCTGCGTCGGACAGCTCGTGAGGCCATCGACGGCGTCGATGCCCGCCACGTCCACAGGGAGGAGGTGGGTCCCAAATCCAAATGGCGTGGGCCTCATCCACATCTCATAGCCTGCGAGTGTCTCTCCCTCGGCGTCCTCCGGCAGATGGCATATTGCAGCATTCAATTCAATCTCTGGACCATCAGAAGAGCTACTTTGGCAGGATCGTGAGAAGACGACAGTGCCAGTGAGGACAAATAGAGAGGCAGAGAGGCTGCAGAGCAAGAGCAAGTGGGAGCGCATAGACTCCCTTCAGCGGAGCTGCACGACAGCAACTGATATCACAGACGTCCGTCACCGCAAGCCTAAATCTCGTAAAGAGTATAAATCAAATTATGCTTCGTATGGCGAAAATTGAGGATCAATCAATACCATAAACAGTCGATCATGACTGATGATAATGCAGATGCTAATGAATTTTATGATATGCATACATCCTCGTCATTAATCTCTATTAGTTGACATTAAAACGCCATCAAATTGAATTTTATGATGATAAAGACATTTTAGGAGTACTTTACATATGGTATAATCTTTATATATTTTTCTAACAAAAAATATTTCATTTTAGCCATACCTATTTTTTAGATGGACACTTCATTTGTAGGATTACATGTCATTAAAATATCTATGAACAAATATGCTGATAGAAAGTATTTTGATAATCAATTCTCATCCGTCAACTAACCATCTCATCATCTCGGAGATGCTAACGTGGAAGGAAAAGGTCGAATCACTTTCCGAGGAGTAATAACGTAGGAGGGTTATGGTATGTTGTTATCCACGGGAGATCGTTTAGACTAATCCTATCAACCCCCATGGACAGCAATCCATAGGAGGTCATTCAGACTTGTCTCACCTCTATCAATTCTCATGAATAATAATCCATGGGAAGCTATTCAGACTTCTTGCCCCCATAAACAAAACGTCAAAAAGGAGGGCGTTGAGGCTATTACAAAGAATTCCTTTAACTGGTTAGGTATGAAAGTTGACTCCAATGCTTACCCAAGGTCGGACCTCCTTCCTAAAACTTCTCACTCTAAACAATCTTTCGAGTGCTGGAGGGGTTGGGTCGAAAAACTCCTGTCGATGGTAATTTTTATGTAGGAACCCACTAAGAAGACCAGACTCTACCTCAGCTTAACCTTAAGACCACCTTGAGTAGACCGAGACCACGTGAAGACCACCTTGGGCACCTTGGAGTCACCTCACCCATGTCAAAGCTACTCCTAAGGTTCCTTGAACGCTACCATGCCTTCGGGTCTAGATCGAGCCAAACTTACTAAGTATACATAAATCCCCTTAACATATGCTAGACAAGATCTAACCAGTATTACCCATTTACCTCTTGGTTGATCACTAACTTATCATATAATTTTTCTTAATATTCTTCTTTGATTGTTTATGATCGAGATAAGATGAATATGTATACGAAAAACAAACATAAAAATATGCCATTATATTTCTCACGTAGAGAGAGATTTGTGATGGATTTTTGGATATAGGTTTATGATGGGCCAAATTGGGCTGTGTTTGGGTCGGTGGATCGATGCCGTGCCCATTGTTGATTGGGCCAAGGCCAATTGTAAAGCAAAAGTGGCCACGTCACCAAGGGTGAATATTATATTTCTTATTCCTCATTCATTCACCTTCTTTTAAAGGTGTATAATAATAATAATATTATTATTATTATTGCAGCGTGGATCGCCGCGGACACGACGACGGCGTGCAGGTGCGGCTTCCCTTGCAATGTGAGGCGGACCACCGCGAACCTTCTTCCTCCGGCGTGTGGAAGCTAAACGTGCGTCGCCCACCGAACGCGGTGCGGGCGCCGTGTCGAGGGGAGGACGGATGCAGTGCGCGCCAAGGGCAAGAAGGGGAATTCCGCCTCAGTCCATCCCCCCTCTCCCTCCCCCGTCGCTTTCACGTCACCTCTCCCTTTCCTACGCCTCTCTTGCCCCCCTTCATCTATCTTCGACCCCGGCACCCATTCCACCAGCAGCGGGAAGTCTTCTTCCTCCTCCTCCTCCTCCCTCCCCCCCCCCCTCTGCATGTGTGGAGTGCTACTTGTGATGCTCCCGACGGTGCCTGCGAATTCCACAATTAGCGCTCTGTTGTTGTTGTTGTTGGTGGTGGTGGTGTTTCTGGTGGTCGAATTGGGCTACTCGGGGTTGCTCCTGTCGTCATGGCGGCTCTCGTCAACTACGGAGGTAACGCCTCTTTGCTCCTTGCTGATGCGTTGATTTCTGTTGCTCTTTCGTCGACGAAGAGTTTCCTTTCTAGCGGCGGTTTTTGGGGATCGGACGGTTCCTTTTGCTCGTGATCTTGTCTGAGACTGGGAACCTTGCCGATCTACATCGATGCCGTAGATTTCCCTTTGTTTCTGAGATCTGCAAAATCATCATCCTTTTGTTGCTCGAACGTGTGATTCGACTGCATCTTGGGAACTCTTTGGGGTTCCCCTTGTGGTTTGAGGGTGGAGCAGATCTCTATGTTTCGCTCTCCTATCTTGTCTGGTTTTGGAAGGTTTAATGCATGACAATTGGATTCTGAGTTGTAGCTTAGAACAACGCTGATATCGAGGTTTCACCGCGGGATCGTGTGCTTTGAAGCTACTATGATTCTTTCAAATGTTTTCATGGGATCATGTTTCTGCGTTGTTGACTCGATTCGATCGACGATCGCCGTTCTTGCAGGTGGCGATGATCTCTGCCCTCTTTTCCCGGGTTCCAGCCGCTTCCTGTCTCCCGGTCGTAACGTCGATGTCTACTGCCCCCCTCGCAAGAGGGCTCGGGTCATTGCTCCTCTCGGCTTCAGCTTCAGAGGGAGAGAAGAGGTGGCAGCAGAAAAGCAGCAGCCACGGTCGATCGACACCCTTCCTGATGAGTGCCTCTTCGAGATCCTCAGGCGTTTGCCGGGAGAGAAGGAGAGAAGCAGCTGTGCATGTGTGTCGAAGCGCTGGCTTATGCTTCTGATCAGCATTCGTTCTTCGGAACTTGCTGCCCGGATGAAGACCACTGATGAATCAGTGAAGACACGGATGCCGGATCTTAGCAAAGGTGTTTGTGCAGAGGAGAAGGAATGTGAGAACAACGGGTATCTCACCAGGCGCTTGGATGCAGAGGAAGCTACCGATATTAGACTTGCTTCCATCGCCTTCGGAAGCTGCAGCCGTGGTGGGCTGGGCAGGCTTTTCATCCGAGGAAGTAATTCGACTCGGGTCACCGATGTTGGACTCTCTGCGATTGCCCATGGCTGTCCTTCTCTTCGGGTTCTATCTTTGTGGAAGGTGCCCTTAATCACTGATGCTGGCCTTTCAGAGATTGCTGATGGATGCCCACTGTTGGAAAAGATTGACCTCTGCCAGTGCCCACAAATCTCGGACAAAGGCTTGATAGCTGTTGCACAGAAGTGCCCCAACTTGACATCTTTGACAATCGAGTCTTGCTCGAGCATCCATAATGAAGGTCTGCAGGCTATTGGTCGTTGCTGTCCGAACTTGAAGTCTGTTACCGTCAAGGACTGCATGCGTGTTGGCGATCAGGGAATTGCAAGTTTGGTTTCTTCAGCCTCGTCATCCTTGCAACGAATAAAACTTCAGACTTTGAACATCAGTGATCTCGTGCTTGCTGTCATTGGTCATTATGGGAAGAATGTAATCGACTTAGCCCTTATTGACCTACAGAAGGTGAATGAGAAGGGATTTTGGGTTATGGGAAAGACTCTTGGCTTGCAGAGGTTGAGGTCCATTTCTATCACCTCTTGCAGTGGGCTTACGGATCTGGGATTGCAAGCTATTTCAAAGGGTTCCCCCTCTCTGAAGCAGCTCTTCATTTGCAAATCTGAATACCTGTCTGATGCTGGTTTGAGAGCTTTTGCAGAAACTGCAAGAGCACTTGAGAATTTGCACCTTGAGGATTGTAACCAGGTCACTCTTGTCGGTGTCAGTTCTCTGTTGAAATGCAATCCTGAGTTGAAGTCACTGGCTCTGGCGAGATGCTTGGGCATCAAAGACATCACTTTATGCCCTACCCAAATGCCATCATGCGTGTCTCTTAGGTCCCTAACAATTCATGATTGTCCCGGTGTCACTGATGCTAGCTTGCAAACAGTGGGAAAGATCTGCCCCCAGCTACAGAATGTAGACTTGAGCGGACAAATTGGAGTGACTGATGCTTCGCTCATCCCACTGATTGGGAATTCCAAGGGGGGCTTCGTGGAGGTCAATCTTAGCAATTGTGTTAATGTGACCGATGTGTTGGTCGCTATGCTGGTCAAGTCACATGGAGGCACTCTGAAGGTGTTTAATCTTGATGGTTGTAAGCAGATCACTGACAGAAGCCTACTGGCGATTGCAGATGGTTGCTCTGAGCTCGATAACCTTGATTTGTCGAGTTGCTCCATAAGTGATTACGGTGTGGCAGTCCTGGCATCAGCAAGGCAGCTTAACCTGCGCATCCTCTCTCTCGCAAGTTGCTCAAAGGTCACACAGAAGAGTCTGCCATTCTTGGGTAACATGGGGAGCTCTATGGTGGGTCTGAATCTTCAGCACTGCCGTTTGATCAGCACCTATGGGATTGGGTTGCTAGAGGAGAAGCTGTGGTGGTGCGATATCCTTTCCTAGCGCAGGGGATCTTTAGAGTCTGACCATTGAGCTTACTTTTCATAAGCTTCAGCACCAGAAACAGATCATGAACTGCAACAATATCTTTCGGCTTGTTTTTTGGCTCATGGCATTTGGTGGTGGGTTCTCAACTTCATCACAGATCTGGTAATCTTCCGTGGACTGTTGGCCAATCTCAAGTTTTTGCAGATGTTCTTCCGCAAGGGAACTCTGTTTTAGGGTGGCTGGCTATCCTCTATTTTGATCTCGGTGCGGAAATCACCTCACTTTACGAGTCTCGTTATTGCACATGATAGATGTTTTTCGTATGATCCCGGTTGTGTTACCAGGGAAGCATCATAAATTGCTCCTCTGGTGTTTTAGGGAATGCTTGTGGGTCAAAACTTTGAAGCTTGAAGTCAGTCAGTCTTTAGAGTTGTTCCGGTCTTGGCTTCGTGTCGGCTGAGTCAATTGTGTCCGTCATTGTCTTCATTGTGGGTCTTTGCTTGGTTGCTTTTGCACGGTTCGGTTCTGACGCCTGAGATGTGTAGGATTTGGGTATGGCAGCGAGCACTACTTTGGAGCATGCCATGACAACCTCCTTGTGGTTGTTTTTTCCCCCACCAAATCCTTCTTTTGCAGGCTAATGGCGGACTGTAATCTATGCAGCTATAATAATAGACATGTTTTATGTATACATCGTGTGATTTCCATAGTTCTTCATGATTTGTCATGAAGAAATAATGATCTTTCTTTGTGATCATAGTGTATGATATTCATCTTGGCTGTAGTGTTTTGTTGCTTCCCAATTTGAGCTGCTTATATGTCACAGCTTTCTTGATGATGCTGCTCTCTGTTAATTGATGATTAGACCTCCAAAAGTTGTGTTCAGTTCATAGTTGGGGGGGAAAGGCTTCCATCATCTTCTACTGGATTAATCCAATAAGTAATAGAAATGAATCACCTTTCCAAAAATCGGTATCGGTCTTGAGGGGTTCATAAGTATAATAAGGAAAACTAAGGTTCATCGTGACATATTGTTCCGTATGGACGATCCATACCCATTCGATCGATACGAATGATATATCGATACACTGTCGTATATCATATGTTAATACACTCAGTACGTTTTGATATAACTTGATAAAGCTCGATACATACCGTATCGATAGCTGATCAAGACAAACCATTATCTAAACATTAGTTGGAAATCTAAGTCAGAGATAGGGTGTCACTCAAGTCATGATTTAGAACACCACATTTCCACTTTTGGTTGGAAAATTTTTGGAAAATCTAAACATTAGTTTCAAACCAAACTATATATACTCAATTATTCCTGCTTAAGCAGGCTGTAACAATAAGAAATGATGATCAAATCGATTTCTTAATTTGCCATTCTATAATTACAAGAAGAGAAGGGAGAAAAACTAAATCATTTTAAGTGTAACAAGAATCTAGTCAGACAATCCTCCATGAAGCACCAGAGTTTATGAGCCTGATGTATGCATTCCTAAAATCATTGAAAAACTTGGCTTGATCACCAGCATAGAGATCAAATCTACTTCTTAATTTGCCATTCTATAATTACACGAAGAGAAGAGAGAAAAACTAAATCTTTTTAAGTATAACAAGAATCTAGTCAGACAATTCTCCATGAAGCACCAGAGTTTACGAGCTTGATGTATGCATTCCTAAAATCATCGAAAAACTTGGCTTGATCACCAGCATAGATCTTAATCCACCTGCAGATCGAGCAACAGGCCTTTAGATCATTAGCCGTAGAAGAAGAATACCTTCCCCACCATGTCATAAGATGGTACAAAGTAAATGTGGTGAAGAAAGACCTTAAGCACTCCTCGTCCTCGGCTAGTGCTCGATCTGATGGAAGCCCTATCATGCTCGACATGCCACCTTTATGACAAGAGTAGAGCAGCAAGAAGAAATTCTCTCAGGAAACGATACAGAAAACAGTAAATGACGATGTTGAATCTAGCAGAGCCTGGCCAATTTTGTGCAAATATATCAAAAGCAAAACATCTTAAAAACAGATAGAAGAAACCATGACTTTAAAACAACAGATGATTCCTCTTCATATTTATATTATGATCTGTTCCTTGTTGCGCATCTGATAAGAGCATTAGTAGCTAAAGCTTGAACAAAGTGGCCTTTAGGTTATCAGATAACCAGGACAAACAGCTATCACATCTCTGAGCATGACATAATTATGGTTTAAGAAGATATATTAAGACTGCAGCTCGTAAATGTCATCTTCCGTTATCTGCGCAGTGGGGTTATACAATTTTATGTACAGAGTAGATATCTAGTTAATAAAATATACAAAACATCAGGAACTTGAAGTTGAACCATTCACCTGAAGATGTCCATGTTTTTTCGAGTAGTATATTGAAGTAAGCATTGTCAAAAACAACAGGACTTCCAAAACCTTTGTTTCCAATTGTATGTGCTCCAGATAATGCAACAAGTTCCTGTGTCCTGTCAACATAATTCCACTTTAATGTTCTCAGTCACAAGATACGTGATCTCTGCCATCAAAATTAGAAATGCTTTAAGAAAAAAAAAGTGATATCATACTCGTCATTGTATCATCTAACTCAATGACTAAAACCTTCTGATTTTTTTACATCTAAGTTTCATAAATAATCATTTAAAAAATCTCTCTCTTGAATTGGTATTTTGCATTACAATGGCAAACGAAAGACTCAAGTAACCGTATCTAGATTCTTGTGTTTAGACTCCAGAATTAAACAGTTGCACGCATTTGGGATTAAGAGAGGTGAACTTGCTCGGTATCTGCTGTCACATAACTTAGTAACAGATTGTACTACTTCATCGTTCAGTGTTTGTACTTAAGGTCATAATTGTTCGGTAGCCAATCTGCCATAGTAACTAAGTAAATGAATTAACAAACTGAAACCAAACTCCATTTTAGCGATATATAAGCTATCCTGAAAATTTTATATAGCAATGGGGTGAGCATATAAAGCTAAGCAAGTGACTAACATATCCATAGCAAAGAGGACAGTTTTCAAACAAATAAGGTATCAAAATACAAAACAGAGATACAAGATGAAACAAAAGCATGTTTTGTTTGAATGCAGAATTACAATATCGTATCGTTCGAAACATACGGTATTTTGAGACTAGTTTCCAATAAATCATACTTTGCATGAATCTGAGTTCCCAACAGAAAGTTATAAGCAGTTAAGCAATAAGAGGTCAGAAATTACAATCCCTGTTTTGCAGAATTTGTAGGGTTAATTGAAACAGAAGTCTTAGTAGGCATTTAAACTCCAAATCATTCAATCTAGGTGTCAAAATAAAGGTTTTTGAATCTACTTTCAAATAGATTAGGCTTTGCCTAAATCAGAGTTTAGTACTAAAAGTTAGGTCCGAAACAATGCATAGAGGTCATATTTCCGAAAAATTACAGATTCATGACTTTGTATCAAAATAAAAGAAAGGTCTGGTGTTAAGCTGAAATCTTTCGAATTATATAGAATTAAAATGAAAACAAAGATTATGATTTCTGTAGGATGGGGTTAGAACACTTGCCTTAGAAAAATTTGATTGTCAAATGTGGGGAGTTGATGCAAAACCTCATTGGAGACTAAGAGTCCAGAACACAGTATATCAGTTATCATAAAAGCTTTCAACAGTAAGCATTGGGGGGACAAACAAGAGAGGCACTGTATCAAGAATCAACACTCTTCATCCTTTTATTGGTATTAAGATATTTTTTCATAATTGAAGTTAATAACCAGACCTAGTAAATGACTAACAGATGTATATATTTCATGACACAAATTTTAGAAAGCTCAAGTTTTATGAGAATAGATGCATTTATGTTATTATAACAAATGGATTCAAATATGTACTTGTTCAGATAAAGAAAAGGTCCTTTACTAGCAAAGTGAGATCACAGTGGTCTCTTCCAAGTGAACTGCCAATTAAACCTGTCAAGAAAATGCAGAACTCACGAAAAGCCTTTCTTCAAAAAGCACTTCTTTAGACCAGAGGCATCAAGAGTTTCTTGAGGAAGCTTCCCTTGAGGATCTGGTGTCCTAAAGTGCAGTGCACATACTCAGAATATTGAAAAGGAATTATTTGAAAACAAAATTTTCATATCCTGCCAAATGAACTTCGGATAAGTTTTTAATACAAACAAGATCAAGAAAACCAAAAGGTATGAAATATAGAAGAATTCTGAAATTACTTGTGCGACTGAACAACCGCATTGTTGACATGACATTAGCATATCAAGTTTATGTTCTGCACTTGGTATTTAAAAGTGGACTGATTAAGATAGGATTTTGCACCTTGCATCCAGCCGACCTAATTGAACAGGAATAACAGGCCCTCCACAGAGTGAAACAGCCTCAGCACCAGCCACAGCAATCAGGTCCGCCCAAGATACTAGATGTTAAAGAGCCACTTAAAGAGAGGAGTTCCATCAAAAGCAGTGGAAATTGCATGCTGTAGATCATGTACCTTGCTGAATTTTTTCAATTTCCATCTTGGCTTTCTCTAATACCTAAAGGATGGACCCAATAAATTGAAGAAATTTGAGGATTTGATATTTATCCATCAGCAAGTAGTTTCAAGCATTCTCACAATTTTATAGTAAATCATTCATGTAAGCTATCTGTCCATACATGTGCAATTATGTATATTTATTGAGGTGCATTATGCATATAAGCTTTTAACTTGTTATCCATCCATATATATATGTAGAACATATGTGTTGAGAGGTGAAAATATACAAAATTATATGTGTTGTGTTCATAAATCCATCTAGACATGCATGCATAATGAGGTATATTCTTGTATCGTACGTCTCTTGATAGGAAAACATACCTTCAGAGATTTGTTAAGGCCAGCATTTTCAGGTCTGTCGAGTTCATAAACTATGGAACCATTCATACCACCTGCAGCAGATGGTACAAAGAAAAACTTACCACTGTGGCTTAATAAGAATCTAGTCCAAATAGTCATAAACCCTGGACAGGAGCTGATATCTTGTTTATTTATTCATCATCTAAGCTTCCCCTGAACTAAAGGCATTCATATACCAAGTCATTAAAGCATTGATTTGTGGAGCAAGGACCTGATTTGTCATCCAAATCAAACGTTCCTGCATCATGGAAAGCCAAACGGAGCAAACCAGCAGCTTTTGCCTTGGACATAAAATTCCTCACCCCATTTTGAAGAATTGATGCTTCTCCTACATCGACCCTGAAGAAACAAAAACATCGATTTCAAATTGATTATGATCTTCCCATTTTGAGTGCCATATGTAATAAATGTCCAGGCATTCTTTAAGGTTAACTTCAATTAGAAGGAAAACATTGACTGTGCTGTGAACCTGAGTTAATTCAAATGTTTTATGTATTGAACTTGCAACTATTAAAGAATGCTTTGTTGTCATTTCTTTCTCAGAGCTGTATTTGATAAGTTAGAACAGCTCACAATGGATGAAGAATCCATCATGTTACATCAGGCTGTTCATTTCAACAAAGGACCCATGTACACTTCAGTACATTTGAGGCACACATGCAGTACGTTGAATATACTTGTATCGACAAGGTCATATGCCAACTTTCATGGAAGGCATGCATGCAGCAACCATAATCCTAATACTATTGTGCTTCTAGAATACAAAAATCAGCAATTGTGCATATCTTTATAACCAATCAATCAACCATCAAATTGATTTTGATGCTATTGCTTCTAAAGAACAAGCTTCTAATAATGACAAGATTAAAGAATGTTTCGCCATCATGAAAAGAGATAGACAGAAATAACTGTACGAACAAAAGTTTGTGAAATAAAACTTACGCTTTTGCTATATGATGTTGAGTAAACATAATAGGAATTAGCACTGTTAAGATAAGCCTTCTCCTCCCAGATGATGCTACGATTTTTCTCATATCTGAACCCAAAGCGTAAAACATATTATGAATATTGCTAAATCCCTAAAAGATTATCAACAGAATTCTGCTTTACCAAATTGTTAGATAGCAATTTATTAATGATTTTCTTCTTCTCTCAATAGTATGTGAAACAAAGAAAACTATGCAAGGATGATTACATTTCATTGTTGGAACAAGTTCCAACAAGATGATAGACAAACTCTATGACAAGGCAAACAAACTTAGAAATATAACATGTTCAGACTTGAAATTTTATTTTGCTTCAAAACATCGATATATGTTCCATTTAAGAGTTAAGAACTATACTGATGGTGCAATATGTAAATTAGGCACCCAAGCCTCTTTGTGGTCCTTATTTGTTAGTGCATTTCAACTTGCAAGTAATCATCAGTATCAAAGCTGTTTCCTGTCAATATGGCACCGACTATGGAGCTATGCTCACAATTAAGCAGACAGGAAAGAAAGATTAGACATTAGTTTTTAGTCGAATGGTTTTAGAATCAAGAAGACGGATGAAATCTGGAAAAAGAATTGAGGCCGTAGAAAGCAAGATGAAGAAAGGACTCCAATTGCATCCCAGTTCGAATCCTTTGCACTAATAAACTATGACACCATGTAGACGAGGAATTGAAGGACGGGGAAAATGACTTACGAGAAAGAGGGTCTCTCTCATTACTGCGAGCATCCACCTGCTCCGCTTCCATTATTCGGCATCTAAACGCGGGAAAGAGCTTCGGATTCGTCCTTCTTCGGCTGCTACTGCTTGTACGCCTCGGACGAACGGAGAGCAGTGCGCTGAGGTGGAGCGGCTGCTGCAGCATCGCCATCGTCGATGTCCTGCAGCACCTAACCCTACTGCCGTCCGCGTATCCGCGGTCGCAGGAAGAGCGAGGCTTTTTCGCGCTTACTGCCGTTCGCCATCTCGCCAACCGCACAATCAATTTTTATCCACTTTGCAAGAAACTCTTTTCTTTTTTTTTAGTTTTTTGACATGCTGAGAAAATATCCTCAATCCAGCACGTGCGCCTTTGAGGCGAGCGACAGTAAAACCACTGCAGATTTGTAATCAAAACTGCCTCTCACGAACCTCGACTTGGCGATGGGGTACCCAATCACGCTTGAAGTGTGTAAATCTTATTACTTTAAGAAGAGACTTATTTTCTACAATTCGAATTTTGATCACCTTAATTAACGCACAGAACACAGTTTTACTGGTGCTTTTATCCCATCCGGGCTTTGATCGCCCGTCTTTGTTGGGCTTCGTCAAAATCAAATACAATACCATAGTGATCGTTTAGTCTGTTATGACAGTGCTGGAGACATAATTCATTCCAGTTTTACATTGATCTTTTCATATGATGACGTGCATCGCCGTAAAGAACACCAACGTCAAAGTGGGTCGACGTTCAAGCAGCTGGTCTGGTAACGCTACAGACGACAATCACGTTACAACATAACATGATCAAAAAAAGGGGGGGCGGGGGACCCTACTAGCTAGCTAACGATGATTTCCACAACTAGAGACTCAGGAGTAGCTAAGGAAACAGAGCAGGCGAAGCTTATTTCTGTCCTCCAGCTTCGAGTGGTTGAACAACTTCAGCTTCAATAGGTTCTGTGGCCTGAGGGCTCGCAGGATGGGCAGGAATGGTTGTCCATTTGCCAACAAGTGCACTGCCCATCATCTCATATATCTTGCCACTTAATTCTGAGGGGTTCTCCGGCTGCAAGATTAAAAGACAGACAAGTTTATCCATTTATGCATTCCAATAGAGATCCTAGTTTATCTATTTAGTAGTATCCAAAATGATTGGGAGAAGTACTCACTGTGAAACCACTGGAAATTAGAGCTGTGTTATACAAAAGATCTACAGCCTTCTGAGCCTCGGGATCATCAGGGTGACTCCTGCATGCAACCTGCATTACCACAAAATAGAGCATTAACCCATGAAAGCAAATATTAGTGCCAGCCATATTAGGATGATGCAAGAAAAGACGGTGAAATATCTTGGGTGTAGAAGACCATCATTTGCCAACAGGAGTAATGCAAATGCATGAGCGGATAACGGAGTGCAAGTTCACCCTACTGTTTTTCCTTTCACTTGACAATCAAATCTGATACAACTTGGACAAGAGACACTTACGTTCAAATCCTTGATGATGGGATGCTCTGGATTAATTTCAAAAACTCTCCTCCCTCTCATAAATTCCAAACTAGATGAATCTCCAAGTGTTTGTGCCTTCATCAACCTACAGAAGATCAAAATCATGGTCCATGTAATCACACACACACACACACATCTTATGTGAATTGCCTGCACATGCATTTGCATACCTCTCCATGTTGGCAGACCAGCCAAACCTTCCCGATACAAGGACACATGGTGAAGTACTAAGACGACTGGATATCTGGACACTAGCAACCTTGTCTCCCAACCTCTTCTTGATCCAGTCACACATGTGGCCATATTCCTGTTTAATTTCCTTCTCCTTTTCCTCATTTTTATCACCTGCCCAGGATCAATTTCAAAATGTGACCAAAAAAGAAAATAACAAATAATAAAGGCACTCTATAGACAGCTATGCCATAATGATTAACAAGGCCTTCAGTTACACTACAAGAAATCTCATTTGGATACAACAACAGTGAATGACCAGAGCAGTCTGTAATAAGACATATGGATACTGGTTCCTGAAGCATAGCAATCAATATTAGGTATTAAAAGAGTAAGAAAAGATGATAAATGTTAAACCAGATTTCAATTATTGATGTTAACCCAGTTGCTTTCACTTGGGATTAAATCATGATATCTGAAAGCTATATTAGATTTTACATCTTTATTGTACTATTGCTAAATTTTCACCAAAACATTTATTTGTTGAACAAAGCCAAGAGCATTATGCCCCAAATCCCTCTCAGGTCAGAAATAAAAGTAAAGATAAACAGGCTTACTTGAGATACAGTTCTGATCTCCTTATTTATCTGTTACCTTTGCAAGTTCTACCTTATTTCTATTTATCTAATCTCCTACACCCTTCCTCTTTTCTTTGTAGTTAAAGAACAAAGCAACAACCTTTTTTACGCTTTCTAGCTTGGATAAGATAAATCAATTCCCATTATACTAGTTCTGGTAATTTTTGGCCATCACAATATCAAACATCATATTTTTAGTACAAAAGGTCGAATCAGCATACAAAATGAAGCTCCTGAATTGAAATCCAGGCCACATCAGTTGGATTTGGTTCTTGCAACCTACATATGACCAAGAATTTTTGCTCATAAAATATTATAACACAAGGAAAATTGGTTACCTAGATCTAGGTCCTCCTTGCTGATGTCAACAAAATTCTTCTCCTTATAAGACTTGAGATGCTGGATAGCAATCTCATCCATGGGATCAACTAAAAATAGCACCTGAAAGATGAGAGATCCATAATTTAGTTCAAAAGTAACTAACACAAGAACAATGGTTTATGTGTTTTAGGTAAACTATAATACAAAAATATACCTCAAAATCCTTCTCATGAAGTCGTTCTAGGAAAGGTGCATTCCTTGCACTTGTCAAGCTGTCTGCAGCTATGTAATAGATATCCTTTTGTTCTGGCTTCATATTTTCAACATACTCATCCAAGCCAATAAGTTCATCATCACCATGAGAAGAAAAGAACCTCAGAAGTGGAGCAATGCGCTTATGATTCCCATGATCTTCGATACAGCCCAACTTTAAGTTTTTGCCAAAATTCTCCCAGAACTTGTCATAATCCTGACATTTCATACAAGTGCCCGCAGATTCTCATAACCGATATTAAAAATTATACAAAAACAACCTTGAACAAAAGTGCTTTCTAGATATAATACACAAGGGAATGAAGCACTTACATCTTTGTTTTCACTGAGAGAGATGCCCAATATCATGTCAAAGGCTTTGCGAACTAACCTTTTTCTCATTATACGGACCTAGAAGATTAAGGAGCCTCAAAGTTAGCCGCATGAATTGTTGAGGAAAAATAGGAGTGAAGAGAGGGCAACTTCTCTATAGAAAAGAAGGGACATTTGGCATGTTCAGAAAGTTGACTTACAATTCGGCTTTCTTGAAGGATCTCTCGTGACACATTTAGTGGAAGGTCATTTGAGTCCACAACACCCTTTACAAAGCTCAAATATCTTGGGAACTAATAACCCATTATGCATCAGGTGTCAGTATAATTTCTAAAAAATAGATGACATCAATTGGTTTAGGTAGAGGATCCATACCAATTCCCCATCAAAATCATCAGATATGAAGACACGCTTGACATACAACCTTATATTCTTAGTCTTTATGTCAACAATTTCATCCTTTTTGACAGCCGGCACAAAAAGAATGGACCTGAATTCCACCTCGCCCTGCAGCAAGAAAATATCATATGGCCAACTAGATATTTAAGCAAAGCATACTTAGAAGTTAGAACTATAGGCAGGAAAATGAAAATAATTTGGCGTTTAAAAAACATGTGGTTTCTTCAAATGCAAATAAGAGCGATATCCATTTGTAATATTCAACTTTCATTTCAAGGTAGAAGACTGCACATACATTGAGAAATAAATTAATATGGTGTGTTCCACATTCAGATAACTGAGCATCTTAGCAAAAAAGTACCGGTCAAACTTGTAGAACTTTTAGATAGTCACAATGCAAAAAAGGCATAATATGACATACGGCAGATAAGTATACATGAACATACAAGATTTATATTACAGGCAGCAGAATCTTAAAACACGACACTCCAATTACTAGATATGGTCTTAGAATGACCCAAAGCATAAAAAATCTAAATATTTGATGATAACTCAATTGACCAGCTCAAAAAAAAAATCATTTTTTTCCGATTGAGCAAGGTTTTATGATAAGCACAAACTCCACTTGCCATATATATTTTAGAATGACCAGAAATATCAAAAATCTTAAATTTTGTGACTTTCGTTAGTAATTCAATTAAGCAATTAAAAACACAAACGAACAAGGAAAAACTCAAATGACCAAC